TGATGCCATCCAACCATCTCATCCTCTGTCATCCCCTTCTTCTCCTACCTTCAAACTTTCCCAGCATTAGGGTCTTTTCAAATGAGTCAGTTCTTCGCATCAGGTTGCCAAACTATTGGAGTTTCAGCTTTAGCATCAGTCCTTCCAATGAATATTCAGAACTGATTTCCTTTAGGATTGACTGGTTGGATCTCCTTGCAGTCCAAGGGACTCTCAAGAGTCTTCTCCAACACCACAGTTCAAAAGCATCAATTCCTCGGCACTCAGCTTTCTTTATAGTCCAAATCTCATATCCATACATGACTGTTGGAAAATCACAGCTTTGACTAAATGGACCCTGGGTGGCGAAATAATGTCTCTGCTTTTTAATATGCTAGACAAGGTTGGTCATAACTTTTCTTCAAAGGAGCAAGATCTTTTAATTTCATGGCTTCAGTCACCATCTGCACTGATTTTGGAGCCCCAAAACATAAAGTATGTCACCATTTCCACTGTTTCCCCATCTATTTGCCATGAAGTGATGGGACCAGATGCCATGATCTTAGGTTTTTGAATGCTGAGTTTTAAGCCAATGTTTTCACTCTCCTCTTTCACTTTCATCAAGAGGCTCTTTAGTTCTTCTTCACTCTCTGCCATAAGGGTGATGTCATCTGTGTATCTGAGGTTATTGATATTTCTTCAGGCATCAGGCATGTCTCCAGGATGACTGCTTCATCCAGTCCAGCTTGTGCTTCATTCAGCCCAGCATTTCTCATGATGTACTCTGCATATAAGTTTAAATAAGCAGAGTGACAATATACAGCCTTGACGTACTCCTTCCCCAATTTGGAACCAGTCCACTGTTCCATGTCCGGTTCTGATTGTTGCTTCTTGACCTGCATACAGATTTCTCGGGAGGCAGGTCGGGTAGTCTGGTATTCCAACCTCTTGATCTCTGGGTCCTATGACTTTTCTAAATCTAGCTTGAACATCTGGAAGTTCATGGTTCACGTATTGTTGAAACCTGGCCTGGAGAATTTTGAGCATTACTTTGCTAGCGTGTGAGATGAGTACAATTGTGTGGTAGTTTGATCATTCCTTGGCATTGCCTTTCTTTGGGACTGGAATGAAAAGTGACCTTTTCCAATCCTGTGGCGACTGCTGAGTTTTCCAAATTTGCTGGCATATTGAGTGCAGCACTTTCACAGCATCACCTTTTAGGATCTGAAATAGCTCAACTGGAATTCCATCAGCTCCACTAACTTTGTTTGTAGTGATGCTTCCTAAGGCCCACTTGACTTCACATTCCAGGATGTCTGGCTCTAGGTGCGTGATCACACCATCATGATTATCTGGGTCATGAAGATCTTTTTTGTACAGTTCTTATGTGTATTTTTGCCACCTCTTCTTAATATCTTCTGCTTCCATTAGTTCCATACCATTTATGTCCTTTATTGAGCCCATCTTTGCATGAAATGTTCCCGTGGTATCTCTAATTTTCTTGAAGAGATCTCTAGTCTTTCCCATTCTATTGTTTTCCTCTATTTCTTTGCATTGATCACTGAGGACGGCTTTCTTATCTCTCCTGTCTATTCTTTGGAATTCTGCATTCAAATGGGTATATCTTTACTTTTCTCCTTTGCCTTTCACTTCTCTTCTTTTCATAGCTGTTTGCAAGGCCTCCTCAGACAACCATTTTGCCTTTTTGCTTTTTCTTTTTCCTGCCTCCTGTACAATGTCATGAATCTCCATCCATAGTTCTTCAGGCACTCTGAAGATTCAAGATCCCTTGAATCTATTTGTTACTTCCACTGTATAATCATAAGTGATTTGATTTAGGTCATACCTGAATGGTCTAGTGGTTTCCCCTACTTTCTTCGGTTTAAGTCTGAATTTGGCAATAAGGAGCACATGATCTGAGCCACAGTCAGCTCCTGGTCTAGTTTTTGCTGACTGTATAGAGCTCCTCCATCTTTGGCTGCAAAGAATATAATCAATCTGATTTCAGTGTTGACCATCTGGTGATGTCCATGTGTAGAGTATTCTCTTGTGTTGTTGGAAAAGGGTGTTTCCTATGGCCAGTGCATTCTCTTGGCAAAGCTCTATTAGCCTTTATCCTGCTTCATTCTGTACTCCAAGGCCAAATTTGCCTGTTACTCCAGGTGTTTCTTGACTTCCTACTTTTGCATTCCAGTTGCCTATAATGAAAAGGACATTTTTGTGTGTGTGTAACTTCTAGAAGGTCGTGTAGGTCCTTATAGAACCGTTCAACTTTAGCTTCTTCAGCATTACTGGTCAGGTCATAGACTTGGATTTCCATGATATTGAATGGTTTGCCTTGGAAATGAACAGAGATCATTCTGTCGTTTTTGAGATTGCCTCCAAGTACTGCATTTTGGACTCTTTTGTTGACTATGATGGCTACTCCATTTCTTTAAGGGATTCTTGCCCACAGTAGTAGATATAATGGTTATCTGAGTTAAATTCACCCATTCCAGTCCATTTTAGTTCACTGATTCCTAAAATGTTGATGTTCACTCTTGCCATCTCCTTTTTGACCACTTCCAATTTGCCTTGATTCATGGACCTAACATTCCAGGTTTCTACACAATATTGCTCTTTACAACATTGAACTTTACTTCAATCACCAATCACATACACACACACACACACACACACACATATATATATATATACATATATGTTCTTTTCCATTATTCTTTATTAAAAGATATTGAATATAGTTCCCTGTACTAAACAGGGAACCTGTCTATATGGAACCCTGTTTATCTATTTTATATATAGTAGTATATATCTGCTAGTACCAAACTCATAATTTATCTCTTTTCTCCCTTCCTCTTTGGCAACCATAAATTTGTTTTCTGTCTGTGAGTTTGTTTCTGATTTGTAAATAAATTCATCTGCATCATTTTTCAGACTCCTCATATGTGATATCATACAGTATTTGTCTTTCTCTGTCTGACTTATTTCACTTAAGCAATGCCTTCCCAGTTGCTGCAAATGGCAGTATTTCATTCTTTTTAAGGCCGAGCCGTATTCCATTGTGTATAGGTACCACATCTTCTTTAACCATTCATCTGTTAATAACATTTAGGTTGCTTCCATGTGCTGGCTATTGTAAATAGTGCTGCTATGAACACTGAGGAGCATGTATCTTTTCAAATTAAGAGTTTTTTCTGGATTTATACTCAGGAATGGAATTGCTGAACAACATGGTAGTTCTATCTTTAGTTTTTTAAGAAACCTCCATACTGTTTTCAATTCCTGCTGCACCAATTTACATTCCCACAAATAATGTATGAGAGTTCTATAAAGGAGTGATTTTCAAGAGGAACCATGGACTTTAAATCATATAAAGAAGGAGATGGAAACATGATAGAACTGAGGAAACTTTGAAGGGCACCAGGTCAGTGGTTTGTAGGTCCCAGTGAGGTAGGAGAATAACTGGAGTTGAAATATTAGAGGGACTGAAATGATTAGATAGTATGATGTTTGAAGTTAAGGGTGGTAATTATTGGTACTGACAAGATCAAGGATTTGACCTTGGGGGTGAGTGGCTGTGATAAAAACAAGGTTCTGTGGTAGAGGTGGTCACAGAACTAAGATGTTAATACCCCAAGATGGCTTAAATCTCAGCAGGAAATAAGATATCAAAAGTCTTTGAGGGACATGAGGAGGAAAGCAAGCAGATTTTAGTTCTATAGAAGAACTTTGGCTGTGGTTTACTTGCACAAGGAACCAAGAAGAAGCATATAAGTCAAAATCCTACTGAGTTTTTGAGGTAGTTGGACTGCTAAATTCATGACCTAACCTGAAAAGGTCTTTGACTGTTAAAATAATCTTTGACATGATAAACCTGTACAACAAGAAGAGAGTTTCAAAGCCACGTGGACTCTAAGAGGGCACATTTCCAGTGTTCAGCAGTGGTATGGCCTGAGGTTGACAGACAGGAAATAACCTTCCAGTTTGTTGAGTGAAGGATCACAGGATGACAGATAAGGAACTTCCTTCAGAGAACACAATCCAAAGAGAATAGAAGACTGTTCTCATGCTACACACTAAAGACCACTGTGTACTTACACCTCTTTCCTTTCTGAACGGGAGTTTGTGTTCTAACTTCCCTAGGCCTGTTCCCCGTTGTGCGTTAGCGTCAAGACCTGATAGAGGGACTATCCATCATCCACAGGTTCTAGGCCATGGGTTGAAGTCCAGTACCACACAGGACTCTGAGTTGTCTCCCTTGGGAAGAAGGGTCCTCTAGAGGACAGATGGATAGACTATAGAAAACAAAATGAACCACCCACTGATATCTGTGCCTCTTGTTTCATTTCTTCATGGTACGCAAGAGGCTGCTCAGTCCACGATTATATTGCTTTATTCCTTCTTTCCTTCCTTCTTGCATCTCAGGTTGAACATTTAAAACTTAGAATTTTATGGTATTTGAGTAGAAATACAATGTGTGACCCAACTGATCCAAGGCTTTTAAGAGCAGGGGTGCTTTATTCAGCCTTTTGCCTCCTTCTGGCAACTGGATGCTGCTGCTGCTGCTGAGGCCTTAAGCGATGACAGAGTCACCAGATGAAAGGAGCCAGGAAAGAGCTGCCCACTGACCACAAACACCACTTTATACTATTATATGACCAAAAAGAAACTATTGTGTTCAGTCACTGAAAAACTGAAGTTTATTAGCTACAATAGATGGCTTTATTCTTCCTAATACTAATCTTGAGAAAAATATCTCCACTTCTCTATACTGCAGTTTGTTCACTTATAAAAATAGGTGGTTGGACAAGATAATCAATGAGGTTCCTAGTGATACTAAATGATTAATCTCTGTTTTTATTGTATATGAACAAACATGAGATTATACTTTTGTCTTGTCACCTTCCATAAATTCATCATTAATCACACACATCCAGAATTCAAATAGAGTTTCTCAGTTCTGTCATCCAAGAATGTTCAAAATTGCTAAAACCAGTGAGGCATATTTTTTGCCTTACCTGTGTGGTAGGGCACTGTAGGTTTACCACCACGGAGGGACTGGTACAGGTGAGCAGGTTAAAGTAAAACAAAATGGACTTGTTCCTAAAAAAACAACATAATATTTTTAGTGACTGTGGAAATATTTCATGTCATTTCATATCATCGGGTATACTTTAATATAACATGACCTTTAAAAGTCTGCTTCATTTCCTCTAGGAAGTTGCAACATATTCCCCAAATCCCTGTCAAGTAGCCTAACATTTAAAGTACCTTTTGGTAATAGTAAAAAAGTCAAAATAATCAAATTGTCCATCAACAGGGAATTGGTTCAATAAAGAACTCCACATCCATAAAGTAAAAGATTATACTGCCATTGAAAATAATGTTGAAAAATATTTAATGGATGAATTTAGGAAGCAGGTTACTAAAGAGTATCAAAATATGATTTAATTTTGCAAAAACAGTTATAACACATTATATGCAGAAACAAATGATTATATCTGAATGATGGCATTATATTTGTTTAGATAATTTTGTATTTTATGGGTTTCATGAGATAAACATGTATTATTTCAGTGATCTGAAAAAAGATACATTTAGTTATATTTTCTCTCTGTTTAAAATTATATTCAGGGGCATAGTGGTGGGATAACTTGACATTTATTATTGGGGATCTTCCCTGGTGGCTCAGATGGTAAAGAATCTGCCTGCAGTGCTGGAGACTTGGGTTCAATCCCTGGGTCGGGAATATTCCCCTGGAGAAGGGAATGGCAACCCACTCCAGTAATTCTTGTCTGGAGAATTCCATGGACAGAGGAGCCTGGCAGGCTACAGTCCATGGGGTCACAAAGAGTCGGACACGACTGAGTGACTAACACACACACACACACACACACACACACACACTTTGCTAGCAAAAGTGATGAATTTGCCACTTGGCAAGCCATGTTTCTCCTTTAAATCTCAATTTCCTCAGCAGTAAATGGGGATAATACCAGCCTGACCTGCTGAACAGTGGTGTTGGGAGGACATAGGAAATGTGTGGTGGGCTCAAGACAAATGGGTGTCTAACTTTAGTATGCATCAGTGAACCTTGGGGTGTTTGTTGAAAACCGTGATTCCTGACTCCTTCTCAACCCTTCAGAGCCTAGACACTAGGAATTCACATTTCCCCCAGTGATCCCCAATTGATTCAGATACAGGTGGTCTACAAACAATATCTTGAGAGAACATAGCCATATACATTCAAGAAGAGTGTTTCCAGAACCTTGTAAAGTCCCCAGTTAACATGACTACATAGCATAAAATGTATAATAGGCTGTTTAGTTATATTTTCCCTGCTGACTCACAATCACCAAGTTGGATCTGAATCTAGAAACAAAAAAGGCTCTCCACAGAAAATGTGGGCTAGATCCTTGCATCACTTCTGCTGCCTCTTGCTCATGTCTACATAAGCAAAAGATGAGTGAGGGAGGTGATTGGAGACAGTGGAGTTGGCAGGATACAGTCATCAGAGTTCAGAGGATTTTTCTTCCCCTCCTCATTGAAAGGGTGGTTCTTTCTTCTGGGTTTCAACCACACAGGCTCTGAGAGAATCTCTTACAGAGACAGAGGGTATCCCAGTTGGTTCTAGAGGTAAAGAACTCACCTGTCAATGCCAAGACATAAGAGATTTGCATTCGATCCTGGGGTTGGGAAGATCTCCTGGAGGAGTATATGAAAACCCACTCCAGTATTCTTGCCTGAAGAATCCAATGGACAGAGGAGCCTGGTAAGCTACAGTCCCAGGCTAGAGCTGGAATGGTATGGCAGGCTACCACAGGGTCTCAGAGTCAGACGTGACTGAAGTGACTGAGCATACACGGACATGAGAAGGGCAGACCAGCATCTCAATTTCCAGCTGGATATGGCTTTCTGTGGCAGACTTACTACAGCCCTCTGCCCATTTTAGCAGAGAAATGTGAGACGCAGAAACCACAAGAGAGTGGAAATAAACCAATGGTGCAGATAGAGGACAGCACTGAAGCAGCCTGTCGTGGGAGGGTATGGAGCCAAGGAAATGGGCTTGCACCTTCCTGGTGGTACATCGCCTGACAAGAAACTAGAGATGAATCACCAGGGATGGAGCTGAAGGGGTTTGGTGGAGAGAAAGCCAAAACTGATTTCTCAGATCAAAAGACTAGTCAGTAAGGAATTCCCCAGAAAATTTCCACTTGCACACCATGAGAGAGCCAGGCTTTGTCAAGGAGAGAGTTTATGGGTAGTCAGTTACATCTTAGCCTCAGTAGCAACAACCATGTGGGACTAGGGCAGTGGCCAGGAAAGTGACAGACACTCTTTCTCCTTCTATATGTCACAATACAAAGATCTAAAACCAGGAGGGAGGGAAGAGAAGGAAAATAACAAAACAGGCCCTCTCTCCCACTCTTAAGTTCCCCTACAGAGTTCAAATCTGAGCTGGGGAATTGGAAGAGATGGGTTCAAATTTTAAATTGGACTACACTGAACTTTTTAACAGAAAGTGTTAAGAAAGCTATGGAAGATACCCAAGATGCCAAAACAAGAAGAAAAGATATTTGAAAGAACATTATTAAAGGCAATGATAAAGGGGAAATAAACCCACTTCATGTTTGTAATCCCATCGAGTTCTGATGGTTCAAGAATCTGGCTATAAATGCATGCACAGTATGCACAAGGCTACTTAAAGATTCCACAAGAATGAATTTGGCTCTTTCACCACACAGGCAGCTATACATTCTACACAGTCTCATGGTGCATGTGACTCAAATTTGGACGTAAGTGAATGAATAAATTATTGCATGTCATGGATCATTGGAGTCCCTTCAGTTCAGTTCAGTTCAGTCGCTCAGTCGTGTCCGACTCTTTGTGACCCCATGAATCGCAACACACCAGGCTTCCCTGTCCATCACCAACTCCCGGAGTTTACTCAAACTCATGTCCCTCGAGTTGGTGATGCCATCCAGCCATCTCGTCCTCTATTGTCCCCATCTCCTCCTGCCGCCAATCCTTCCCAGCATCAGGGTCTTTTCCAATGAGTCAACTCTTCGCATGAGGTGGCCAAAGTATTGGAGTTTCAAATTCAGTGTCAGTCCTTCCAATGAACACCCAGGACTGATCTCAGTCCATGAGTCCCTTAGGAGTAGTTAAAAGGCTGAATGGTAAATCTGCAAGTGTCAAGAGTCCACAATAGGTAAAACTGACTTATACACTGCACAATGATGCATAAACTCAAGTTATTCACCAGATTATGCAATCCTCAAGGGTAAAGTTTGTACCTTATTCATGTTTATATCCATCTACTTTCCCAACACTTAGCCTAGTACTTGGCCCATTCCAGGCATTCATCAGATGTTACAGAATGAATGAGATCAATTTCAGAATAAGTTTCTCAGTATCTTAAAATCCTTCTTAGTTTTTTGCACACATCTGTACTCATTCTGTCAAAGCCTGCCTGATACCCTTAAATGCCAGTGGTCCTCAGATTCCTTACATACAAATCTGTGACCCCATGAACTGTATAGGCCACCAGGCTCCTCTGTCCATGGGATGTCCCAGGCAAGAATACTGGAGTGGCTAGTCACTTCCTTCTCCAGGGGATCTTTCCAACCCAGGTATGGAACCTGGGCCTCCTGCATTGCAGGACAATTCTTTACCATCTGAGGCATCAGGGAAGCCGAATGATAATGATTGTAGAGGAATAATTCTGCAAAAGTGATTAAGGAAGTAACTCATTATTTAACTTGAATTATATTTCCACCATGAAACAATAAAATAGAAGCAACTGCAAACTACTAGCTCAAGATGATATAAGATGCACTTAAGCCCATCTCTTTTCCTTCCTGAGACACATGGAAATAAAAGAATAAAAATACAGAAAGGGATAAACATTGCCATACCAGCTAAGGATGTGCAGGATGGGATTTGCTCACAATTGCACAAGAGGTCAATAATTTCTGGACGATGAAGAGCATATGAGAGTGTGTTGAGTGAAGAATGCACTATAGAAAAGCTACAAAAAGGGTGGGGTATGATATGCCTGTTAGAAAGCATGATACATTCTGGACTCAAAAGTTGAGAGTGAGAAATGTGGCCAAAAGTGAGAATATTAATTAAAGGTTTATATACAAGTCTACAGTACAAATCAGCACTTCTGTGCTCCCTCCATAGTCCTACACTTAAGACTTCTAGGATCCAGGAAAAACAGGCAAAAACAAAGCCCTCTTTTGTTGAGTGATAACAAGGGCTTTTGTGAAACTGGATACCCCAGTCTACAGTCCTTCATATTCTGGCATTTTAAAAGTCCATGTCTGACAGTCAGCTTCCTACCAGATCATGTGGTAGTAAAATCTAATAGCTAGTACAGTGTTCCTATCCCATACTAGTCAAAGGTCTCCTACGGAAAACTGACCCAGTGACACAGCAGCTGAGCAAATTCACACAAGTGACCCAATTCTTTCTATAGTAAAAATGGATTACCAAGTAGCATAAGGAATTTAAGAGAAATCAGAAAATGAAAGACTAAAATAAACAAAAAAGCAATGCTGGATAAAATAAAAATAATTCAGAGCATAGAAGGGACCTTTAAAAAACAGTATTTTAAGAAAGATTCAATCAGATTATTCATAAATAAAAATACTATGCTATTATAAACAATTAGAAAACAAGAGGGCTTTAAGAGACTAAAAATATGATTAACAAAATCTAAAAGTCAAAGGCAGAACTGGAAAAAATTTGACAAAATCTTCTAGAATACAGAATAAAAAGTCATAAATGGAAAATATAAGGGGCAAAAGAAAAAAAAAGGTATTGAGATTAATCAAGGAAGTCCAAGTTACGAATAACAGAGTTCCAAATAGACAACCAATAAAATGGAAAGAATGAAAATAGCAAAGAAATAACTGAAGAAAATTTTTCAGAGGTGCTGAGTCACAGTTCTTTAGAGTTAAAGGACCCATAAAAGACTAGACAAAAAGTTTTTTTTTTAAGTAAGACCTACATTGAATTGTGAGATTTCATAACACCACAAATAAATAATTTTAAATTCTTTCCCAAAGGAAAAATATTTCAAAACAGAAAAAATG